ATCATGAACTTTCAACTGGGTAGAATCCCAGGAAGTTTCAGATTTGGGATTCCACAGCCATTGCCAACATGTCTGTCTTATTAAATTGGAACTTTAAGGATAGCTCTGCCTTGGACTCTGATTTAATTCTGCATGATCTTTGGAATGCTGACAACTAGCTTTGGGTCTTGCATGGTTGAAAAAATGGAACCCCAAAATTAATTGGAAGCAAGACACCATAAGAGTGTAGATGCATGTAACCTCTGCTGAGAATCCAAAACAAGAAACTGAGGGGGCAGAGCACCAAGAAACAGCAATGCCCGTTTACACTATGCCAACCCAGAGCATACCCAAAGAATACAAGGACTTTGCTGAGGTTTTAGCAAAAAAGCCTCTGACAATCCCCGCCCGCACCGCTCCACTGATTGTGCGATAGAAATTCTACCCAGGGCCAAACTCCCTAAACCCAAGATGTACAGCATGTCTCCAAAGGAGCTGGAAGAACTGAGGACATTCATTGAGAAAAACCTAGTAAGGGGTTTCATTGAACCAGCCCGGCTGAAAATTGCAGCCCTGGTGTTGTTTAAAGAGAAAAAAGATGGCTCCAAACGCCTCTGCGTTGATTTTAGAAACCTAAATTCTATCAGTTTGGAGAATATATATCCCCTCCCTCTCATGAAGGATATGCTAACATACCTCGCGCAAGGGAGAATTTTTACAAAGCTGGATTTAAGGGAGGCTTGCTACCGTATCAGAATTAAGGAGGGAGATGAATGGAAAACGGCATTTAACACCTCTCTGGGATGCTATGAATTCAAAGTGCTACCATTTGGACTACAAGGGGCCCCTGCAGTGTTTATGCAATTAATAAATGAAGTGTTGCAGGAACATTTATATAAGGGCTGCATAGTCTACATTGATGACATCTTGCTTTTATTCTGATACCAAGGCAGAACATATTACCGCCAGTTTATCCCCGCTTTCGCTAGTAATTTAACTCAGAGGCCCCCCTCCTCCCAATTGAATGGCAATATCACGTAAGGGATCTGGCAAGCATGCTTTAAGTCATACTAAGTATTCCAAGTGTTGCCTGTACTGAAAATATAGTACTGACAAAAATAACACTTGCACAAGCTGTGATTTTATTAGGAATGGCAAATAAATGCAGCTATATAGGAAGATCGTTTTAATGTAAAGCCATGTGGAACTTACATTTACAGTGAACCTTGCTTAGAAGGATTTTCCACAAAAGAAACTTGGGAATATTTGAGGATAAAGAAAAATGACCTCACCTATTGATTGTTGAGTTTATAATGCACTGATAGCTAATGGAATGATCTGATAAAGTAGAAGAAGGGGTATGCTCTCCTCTGAATTTCTAGTGAACATTATTTCTCACCATTACCTTGCCAATAGCACTGGCCCAAGACTGTAGATTACTGGAATCATCACCTACCCACTGCTGCATTCGTTCATTGCTCAGATACAGTTCTAGCATGAAGCAAAACCTGTTTGTAGCAAACAAAATATCATTGTTAATAGATATCCAGTAAAATAATTTGTTCATTTAGATATTAAAAGGATTTTTTAAAAACCATCACATAATGGGGCAATTAATCTATTAATCTTAATTTTGAAATTTATTTTATGTATTATAATGGACTGTCATCAATGATTTGTCTTAATGCTTATTATTATGATTTGTCACACAATCAGCCAGATGTTCAGACTGGATTTGGCATTTTGTCTACCTATCAAGTCCTTTCCAAGAATCTGGGATAAGCAGATGTGGATGTTTGATGGTGTTACAGATATTGTTGCAGGGTATAAGCTGTTCTTTTTTAAACAGTTTTTTAAATATATTTTCACATTACATACATAAGTGCTTAGTGAACAGTGTATTGTCTGGATCAATTTATTTTAATACAATCATACTCCTAATTTCTACCTCTATTTTCCAACCATTCATAAAACAAGTCCCATGTTTGAAAATACTCTGCATCTTCTTTTTCTTTTAATGTCAATCTATCCATTTCTACACAATCTATTTTTTTTAATTACACCATCCTCTATGGATGTTTCCTCATTTTTCCAGTACTGTGCATATACAATTCTTGTTGCTGTCAAGACATGTAATATTAAAATATAGATTCCCTTTGTCATACTTTGCAGATATTATGCCTAGCAAGAATATTTCTGGCTTATAATGTATGTGTTGTTTTAACATTTTCTCCAACCACGTATGTATTTTGTCCAATATTTCTTTGCTTTTACAAATGTCCACCACATATGATATACATCCCCAGTATCTGGTTACATTTCCAACATTTGGCAGACATACTTTTAAACTTCTTTGCTAATCTTGCCAGTGGTAAATGCCATCTATAGTTGTATAGTCCTAGTTGTTCTTATTGTCTCTCTTCTTTTGCCCTTGCTCCTTCTTGTTTTGCTCTATTTTTTTCTTTTTCTTGTTGTGTTCTCTATTTTCCTGTTGATTCTTCTTGTCCTTGGTAGTCTAACTCTCTTCCTATTTCTTGTCCCTCATTTGCAACTAAGTAAGTTTCATAGAATTCTAATGCTTAATCTATTGAACCTAGTGTCAGCCTCTCCTTTACTTGCTTGCTATCAGCTGCCATAGTAACGGGGAGGATGGGGACTCATGGTATTTGGGGGGAATTGCTACATGTTGGAGAAATTATCATGAAGGGAGTTTTGTTCTCACCATCTTCTGTGCATGCTGATGGCTCGTGTTTGGCCTTGGTCAAGGTCAACTGTCTTTACATACCAGCTGAATGAGGCCACTTGAAGATGCACCCCAGATGACACCTTTGGGAGTTGCAGATAGGACATTGGTTTGGGATAACTGGGGGGAGGGTCCTGGGTAAACGTTTGATATGTACATGTTCGCGCTTTTTTGCTTCAATTCTTGCTTTACTTTAGCTGTTTTCATTTCATGCCCAGTAAGGAGGCCTGACAGTACCTTTATCTCTATTCAAATGGAGTTGGGGGTTTTCTTTCTTGGATACTGAATGAGGCACGCCTGACATCTAGTCTATATCTTTTCCCCTCCCAGTTTACTAGTATTCCTTCTGGTACCAACCATCTAAAGTTTGCCTCTCTTTTGATCAGCTTTACAGTCAGGAATTGATATTGTTTATGTTATGTCCCTTACCATCCTAGGAATCTGCTTCAAAACGACAATTTCTTTCCCTCTGTAGTTTAATGAATCCTTTCTTTTTAGTATTTCAGCTCTTATTGATTTTTAAACAAATCTCGCATGTACCTCCCTTGGGATCTCATGTCATCTTGCATAACTCATATTTATTCTAAATATTTCAACAATTTCTCCCTCCAGCTCTTTCTTGTCTATCCTTAGAGCATTTGCCAATAGCTCTGTCATCACTTTAGGGAGGTATTCTTCTTCGGCCTTCTCTATGTTTTGGAATCTTAGGAAGTGGGCTGCCCTCTCCATTCCTAAAATGATAACTGTCTCCTCGAGGTTCTTATTTGCTTGTGTCAGTTCCTCCATTCTTTTTTCTGTTTCTTCTGATTTATCCTTTATTTTCTGGATTCTTTGTTCGGTTTTTGTAATTATTTGTTGAAAATTTTCTAATCTCCCATCCATATCCTGAATCTGTTCTTTCATTTCTCCCAAGTCACCTTTCACCTTACTATGGTTCATCCTTATTTCTTCTTTCTGTGCAGCAATAGTTTCTTGAATAGATAGGAACATTGTCTGTACTTCTTTTTGGAAGGTATTCATTTTCTCTTGTTGCATCATTATATCTATTGATCTCTGATTTGATGGGCTGGCTGTTGCAGATGTCAGGGTAAAAGATGCTTTCTTTCCAGTTTTAGTTAGATTTGGAGCACTCATTTTTTCTCTGTTCCCCTCACTTTCTTTTTTGTCTACAATACCAATCTAAACCTAATTACTCCACCAATACCTCTTACAATTAATTTTACAATGAATTCAGCTTATATCAGTACCAATATTAGAATATTAAGTCTATTAGGGAGAAAGAAATTGTTTTAAGATCACAGGTTATGGTCCAATTTTCCCTGTCAGCCTCTTGTCCAAGTCTATATCTATTGTTTCACTTTTTTCTTTCACCTTCCTCAATGTCCATCAAATGATGTTTGTAATCCAAAAAGACCCACCAAATTCCCCACTGTCTCAATAAACCAAATAAGCCATGAAAGCCAAGAAAAGCCTCTTCGTTCCAACTCCAGCTAAATTCAAAACAGTTCCATAAGGTCAATAATATTTATAATTCACAAAAGTTTCAAAGAGTTTGCTGTCTATCACCAAACCACCATTAAATAATCTTACAGTTCTTCTTCTTTATCTGTTTCAAAACATTCCAAGATTCAAGGCTATTTTCAAGGCTGTTTATTTTTCAGTGTAATGTCCTTTTCCACCAGTAGATGCCATCCCAGTTCTATCTTTCAGCTTCCAGCAAAAGCATAACTTCATTTATTGGGAATTTCATTTTCCCTTATATTCCAGTAGGAGAAAAGGTATTTCCAATTTCTAATTTCAGGTTGCTTTTCAGTTTATTTTAACTNACCCTGCAAACCATGTCTGAGCACAACAGCAAAAAAGGAGAAGCTGATTGCTGGAGGGAGATGACAACCCCTTCCCAACCAGAGATCTGTTCTATATACCCTGTCCGAGAGGATGAGGTGAGCCTAGAGGACACCAAAAAAACCCACTAGTCAATCGGCATTGGGACAAAAGATGGCTGGGATGGGAGATCCAGGGAAGTCATTCTTACCCGAGGGAGCCAAAACCCAGGGTGGAAAGTGGAGTTACAATCCCCCTCTGACCATGAGGAACAAAATGAAGCCTCACTGAGAGAGGATCATCTGAAGAGACATGTAACCCAGTTGGTGATGGAGATTTTGGAAAATCTCAATATCCGGGCGAGCCATAACGGCAACCAAGAGGTGTGGGAAGGTCGGCAACTGTGGAGGAGGCCAGGGGAGCTAACCCCCATCTGGGTCCTACTGATCAAGCAGATGACACTACAGCAACAGCTAGTAACCCAGCGAACCCTCCCTCCAGGTGGCGCATGGATTGGGGGGCATCCCCCAACGAACCCCAAAACCTGCAATTAGAAAGGAAAACTCCTTCCCTTGGGGTGAAGTTTGATGGAAACCCCAAAAAATTGGGATTCTTTGTGGCATACATGCTCACCTACATGCAAGAATATGGATGGGATTTTCAAACCCAAAGATCTCGAGTAAGAGTAATTACCCTAGCCCTGGAAGGAGCCATCGTCCGATGGATGGTGACACTACACGATGCCAATACGCCAGAACTGCGGGACTTTGACAGTTTCATGATGGCACTGCGATGTTTCAAAGACCCCCTCGCAGACCGCAAAGCACGTGACTGCATTAAAGTTGTGAAGCAGGGACGCCGACCAGTGGCAGAGTTTACCGAAGAATTCCTAGGCTTGACGTGTCATGTGAACTGGCCAGAAGATATCCTGATAAGCTGGTTCAAAGATGGGCTGAGTGATGACCTCTACAATGCCTGCGTGGCCCAAAGGGTACCGAACCACCTACAGGAGTGGTATCTCACTGCTGAAGAGGCAGAGATCGACATGGTCAGGAACCAGTACCAATCGGGGCAAATGTGAAAGAAATCCCCACCCCAATGGAAGCAACACCCTTCCCTCAAGCAAACGGCATTTTCTCTGAAACCCTCAGCCTGTTTCAAGTGTGGAAAAGAGGGGCACTGAGCTGCAGAATTCTATTCTCAAGCACTGGCTAGGAAACCAGAGCACCCATTAGGGGGGAAACCTACGAAACCAGGCCAATGTGGGAAGGAAATGGCCCTGAGGAGCAGGGAGATTGTAAAATCTCCACCCCCTCCACTCTTTGAGGAGGATACCCTGGCCTCTAGGGAAGAGGAACTATACTCATCCGGGAGCGATCCAGAGGATGAACAACTGATAAGCAAACCAATTAAACTGCTTACACTCCCCTAAGACTGTTTATCCCCAACCGGGAGAGGGAGATAAAAAATCTCTGCTTTAGTGGACTCAGGGTGCACCCGTTGTTTGATCACCCCAACCCTGGTAAGGGAGTTTAGGATTAATGTAAGGAAGCTGAAGAGCCCCATAGCTTTTTGCCAACTAGATGGGTCAATAGCAGGGAGGGGGGAACCAGCTTCATTTACCATTGAGCCCCTACAGATTGGCATTGGAAGCCACAAAGAAATACTTACATTTATAGTGGCACCAGGCATGGAATGGCCACTAGTGTCAGGCCTGCAGTTATATCCCTTTTAGGATCTNAATAGTAGGGGGGATAAGACCGAACCCTGCGGCACCCCATAAGTTAGGGGCCTCGGGGACGATCTCTTCCCCCCTACCAACACCGACTGCGACCTGTCCGAGAGGTAGATCCATCTGGATCTTGAACCTATCTTCTAGGGTCATGATGGTGAACCTATGGCACATGTGCCACAGGTGACATGTGGAGCCATTTGTTAGGGCACGTGAGACGTTGCCCTGTCAGCTCTAGCGTGCATGTGCACACTGGCCAGCTGACTTCGGACTTCTTTTAAGGCCATTTTTGCCCTCTAGAGGGCAAAAAATGGCCCAACAGGCAAACCTGAAGTCCATTCCTGAACTTCTGGTTTGCCAGTAGGGTCATTTTTTGCGCTCCAGAGGCATCAGGGAAGTTTCCTGAAGTCTCCGGAGGGCCTTGGGGGAGGCTGTTTTTGCCCTCCCCGTGCTCCTAGAAAGCCTCTGAAGCCTGGGGAGGGTGAAAAACAGGTCCATCGCATGTCAAAAGCAGGGGGGGCGAGGGTCACACATGCATGCACGTGGGGGGGGGTGTCGTGTACATAGCATTATGGGTGTGGTCACACCTGCAGATGACTCCCCTGCACTCCCCCCACTTTGGCACGCGATGGGAAAAAGATTAGCCATCACTGTTCTAGGGTGTTAGCTATTCCTGCCAGCTTAATATAATCTGCAAATTTGGTAAATTCCCCTTCTATTCCCTCATCTAAGTTGTTTATAAAGATATTGAAGAGTACTGGGCCTAAGACAGAACCTTGTGGTACCCCACTGCTTACTTCTTCCATGTAGACTTAGACCCATTAAGAACTACTCATTGAGTATGGTTTGTCAGCCAGTTGCAAATCCATCTGGTGTTGAGGCTACTTTTTTCTAGTTTACGAAGAAATAGGTTGTGGTCTACTTTGTCAAATTCCTTGCTGAAATCTAAGTATATTATGCCCATAGTATTTTGCTGGTCTACTAATTTAGTCACTATGTTGAAGAATGAAATAAGTTTGGTTTGGCATGATCTGTTTTAACAATCTGTGCTAGCTGCTAGTTATTACTTTACTCATTTCTAGCTGTTGGCTGATCTGTTTTTTTATTATCTTTTCCAATATCTTCCCGGGTATTGATGTTAGGCTGTTTGGTCTGTAGTTTCCTGGGCCTGTTTTTTCCCTTTTTTTGAAGATGGGAACCACATCAGCTCTTTTCCAATCCTTTGGTAGTTCCCCCAGTGTTCCAGAATTTTTGAACGATGTGGTGCAGTGGTTCTGAGATGACATCTGCCAGCTCCTTTAGTCCTCTGGAATGTAATCCATCAGGTCCTGGTGATTTGTATTCATCATGATTAGACAGGTGTTCCCTTAGGTTGTTTTTTTTTTGCTTATTTTAACTTTTATTTCCAATCTGTTATTTATAGTTATGTTTCTGGTAGGTTGGGCTATAATTTCAAGTGAAGAGCAACTAAAAGAAACTATGATATCATGGGCTAAAAATTTGGGTATTCTATAGAATTGGACAAATGGCAAAAATTGTAGGGCAGACATTATAAATTGATAACATCCAATGCATATATAAAGAATGTTTTATAGATGGCACTTCCTCCAGCAAGATTTGGTAGAATATTTAAGAATATGTCTGCCAAGTGTTGGAGATGCAACCAAATCCTGGGCTTGTATTATCACATGTGATGGACATGTCTGAAAGCAAAAAAAAAAAAAAAAATACTGGACCAAAATACATACCTGGCTAGAAAAAATGATAAAAATGATAGATTTAAATCTGGGGACATTTCTGTTGGGCATCATACCAGATAAATACAGTAAAAGAAATGCATACTTAATAATACATGTGTTAACAGCAGCCAGAATCGTGTTCGTACAACATTGGAAGGGTGAAGAGATCCCCACAGAAGAAAAGATAACAAAATTTTTAGAATGTGCACAAATGAATAAAGTAACATTTGAAATTAAAGAAAAGGAAGACACAATATTTTGAGATATGGGATCTGTTCTATCGATGGTTAAATAAGAGAAACAGGAGTTAGAACTTCAAGAATTACAAGAGGAAGATTAATTTTATTATTAGGTAGTTTACTGTAACTTATTAATTTTGATTAGTATTAACAATGAATATATATTGGCTTTTGGCTGTGCTTCCAGTGGGGTTGGAGGCAAGGACTGTGAGTTCTGTGGCCCCACCCTGAGTTCTCTCCATTGGAGGACTCTGAAAAGAGCCATAGCCACCCTGGAGGAGTGGTGAAGTAAAGGAGGGCGCCTTGCAGGTAGAAGAGAGTCATATCTTCCCCCCCCTGACTTGGAAAATCCCCCTCATCTGAAAACAAGGAGCAGCAGCAGTCAACATGGCTGCCACGAAGCTGGGGACAGCCAGAACACCTAATAAAGTGCATCTGAGGTGAGTGGCTGAGAGAGGCAAGGGGTGTAGCCTGGTGTGGTGCTATTCAGCCAGTTTGCCAAACTGCTCAAAAAGTTAGCTGCTGGTGCAGCCGAACTGGTGCAAACCAGCTGAATCCCACCACTGATTTTAATTTAACATAGGGTGTTGGAGATGGCAGCAACATGCTACAGACCTTGTACTATGACAAATGGTAATACTGGGGAGTGATGAATAGGGACAGATGAATGCTTCTATTGAAGCCCCAAACAGATCCTTAACCTCAAACATAACAATCTTCTCTTTTTGACAGAGATCAATCCAATGTTACTTCATTGTTTGTTGGTACCATAGTGAAGCACATGAACATAGTTAGCAGAACTAAGAAGTAGAAAAACTGAATGAATCAACTTCCCACAAACCTGTCTGTGCAGCTAGGAATATCCAACATGTCTGTTTTGTTCACTGCTAAGGAAATCATATCTGCCACTTCAATCTTTCCTGTTGGTTCAGGATTTCTTTCAGTCTCATAGAAGAGGAAACATTTTTCCAGTGAGCACCAGATCCTCTGAAACTCTACATAAGCAAAACAGTTAGTGAAAGGCACTTTTCAAATAGCCATTAGTTATGGATTCCTCCATACTCAGACTTACCATCTCTGCTTCTCTTGATTGCTTTGCTGGTGGTTGGGACTTTGTATAAGTAGCCACAATGGACAACTGGTTGTAGGATCTCATTGTAGATTCCTTCTACAGGTGAGGAAGGAATATACAGAGAGAGAAACAGATAAATGTTTTAAAAATAAATTGCCTTTGTTCAAAGCCACCAAACACTTAAGCTTCATTTTATGTTTTTAAAAGATAATTTTTCATAGTAGTATAGAACATGTAACTTTGATGTAAAATTGTGAATAAAATTTAAATCATATATGATTATTTGGCATTTAAAGAATGAATTGCCAAGCCTGACCAGTAATAGGAAGATAATACATAGTTTGGTCAAGGAAAAACTACAATTATTTTTATAAGAAATTGAAAACAATTTATAGACTTTTTGGAGAAAAGTAAATTGCTGATTTCAGGAAAGTGATTATTATGTTTGTAACTGCTGCAAAAAATATCGTAAGTTGCTTTGTTAGATATCTTTCTTTTTCTTGTTTTTTGTTATTTACCTTTTTTACCCTTTTATATTTTTCCTTTTCTATGTCTTCTTCTATGTTTCTATAGTTTTTAACATCATTGCAAAAATCTTATTTTAATAAAAATCTGTTTTTAAAGAAGATAATAATACATATCATTTAGTGAAGAAAAATTGGCTTTAATTATATGCCCAATCAAATAGATTGTATCCTGTTTTCTACATATAGGGAATCCTTGACATGAAAATTGGGATTGGAAGCTCTGTTGCTAAGCAGTGTGGTCATTAAGTGAATTTGCCTGATGTTATGTCCTTTTTTTGCAGTAGTTGTTAAGCAAATCTGCCTTCTCCCATTTACATTGTTTGTTGGAAATCCCTGGCAAGATCACAAATGATCTCAGAATGGCTACAACTGTTGCAATATTGTGATAATGGCAATGTCAACTTGCCATGACTACTATCAAGTGGCATAGAGAAGGGAGGAGAATTCCATGCATACTTTTGGCTAGAGTCAGGTCTTATTTTCTTGTAACTAGCATGTGAATGTGCATGTCCATAACCTGCCGTAGCATCTTGTTGGTGAATGTGAGTTATGACCAAGGCAGAGGGGAGGGGACACAGGGGTAAAGTTCAGACACCATTAAGTGTAAATCAGTTTTGGCTCTGCAGGAGTACATGCCAGAATGTTGATCCTAATAAATGAATGGATTTCTTTTGAACTTTGTCTCGAGGCTCGTAAATTAATTAGATCATCTTCTGGGAACTTCACAGACAAGTTCTGTTGTAATAGATGCCAGTTATCAAGTGCCTCAATTTTGATCACATGAACACAGGAACATTGCAAAGTTGCAAGTGTGAGTCACTTTTTTCAGTGCCATTTAACAGTTATTAAACAAATGGTCATAAGTTGAGGACTACTTGTATAGCATAGAATAAGATGGTTACCTGAATGATGAGTATGCACACTGCTGGACCAGGGCTCAGTTTTCCAAATAACACAGCTACCTCCCATTTCAACTTCCATGGTACTTGCAAAAAAATTCACCATTTTTTTAAGTAATCCTGGCCCAGACACAGCTGCACATAGAGCCTATGAAAAGAAAAGAAAGGAAAATAATTACTCAAAATAATCAAGTTCCTATAAGAATATCACAAATTGCAAATCAAAACTGTAAGGAAAGATATTACATAACTGTTCAGGTAATAATGGCAACATGATTGATCACTGCATTAGAATTTGTACATGTGAATTTAGTTAATATTATTTAGCTAACACTGTGACATTACCAGAGGTGTATACTACAGACCCCACAAACCAAACAGTGGAAACAGATTAACTTTTTGTTAATCAGTTATCTAAGGTGTGCAGGAACCACACTACAATAGTAATGGGGGACTCAATGGCCTTGATATAAACTGGGAAACAAACTCTGCACCTTGTTGGAGATGTTATAACCAGTGGTGGGATTCAATTTTTTTTACCATTGGTTCTGTGGGCGTGGCTTGGTGGGCATGGCTTGGTGGGCATGGCTGGGTAGTCATGTGAATGGGTGGGCATGGCCAACTCAATGTCACTCCTAACCAGTCACATGATCCCCTCCCCAGCCACACCTACCCAGGTTTTGTGGCTCCCTGTGTTTTCTGTGAGAAATGGGTTGTGTGACTGTGTGGGCATGGCCAACTTGATTAGTCTCACCATTAGGAAATTTCTCCTTAGTCCAACTCACAATAAAATAGCACAATAAAATAGCACTGTTCCAATATTTAGAATAGAACAGAATAACAGAGTTGGGAAGGACCATGGAGGTCATCTAGTCCAACCCCCTGCTTAGGCAAGAAACCCTACACCACTTCAGACAAATGATTGTCCAATCACTTCTTTAAAACTTCCAGTGTTGGAGCATTTACAACTTCTGTAGGCAAGTTGTTCCACTGATTAATTGTTGTCAGGAAATTTGAGGGGCTCCTACAAAAATGAGGAAGCCAATCTATTTTCCAAAGCACCAAAAGGCACAACATGATACAATGGATGGAAATTAACCAAAAAGAGAAGCAACCTAGGACTAAGGAGAAATTTCTTAAAGGTGAGATCAATCAACCAATGGAACAGCTTGCCTTCAGAAGTGTGGGTACTCCATAACTACAGACTTTCAAAAAGAGTGAGGGAAGTACACCCCAAAAGGACAGTGCCAGGCACCACTAAACAATGCAGAAAACCTAAAACAGCCATTCCACCTTTAAAAAAGTCAACCCCAAAGCAAACTCAGCAGCTGAAAGGAAAAGAGCAGCTGCTCAAGCTGATTGAAAGCCTGGGGGTGCTGCCAAAAACCATTAACCCTTCCAACTCTATTATTCTATGTTCTCTATGTTCTAAATTGGGGGTTTCACAGCAGAAGCAATACAGCTGGCTGGACCACCCATGCATTAAATTCACAGCCTGTATGATCAAGCTGCATCGTTGTCCCCTCCTGTATCTCCCCCCAGGAAGAAACAAGAAGTAGCCAACATTGCAGCAGCTATAAAAGGTATTGGGAAACTCCGGGGAGTATCATCTGATCACAGAAGTGTTACTTAATACTCTTTATAATGAAAATTATGGGAAGAGGTTAATCCCATTCCAAGATGGGTGATTGATAGGTTTCCCTGCCCTAATCCTGTCAGTTTCTATTGTTTATTGACTTGATTCAGCATGTATTGGCTGCATTCCAGTTGCAACTGTTAAATGGATATATTAACTGAAGTAAGAGAGAGGAACCCCTCCCCCCTTGCACTTTATTTTTAACCAGTTCTCCGAACTCATAAGCAATTACTAACGGTTTGGGCAAACCAGTAAGAACTGGTTGAAACCCACCTGTGGTTATGACCCAGTTCACCACAGAGGCAGGCATCAATAGAATCCTTTATTGTTCTGTTAAATGCCACAACAAATGGCCTTACAATGCCTGGTAAGCCTGCACTCCACACTTCCCTGAAGGTAGCCACCTTCAGTTCCACAAACAAAAGCCAGGAAATGACAAAACCAATTCATAAAGACAGAGAGGAAGTCCAAGGAGAAAGCTCCCAGGCAATATCCAGGGTCAGGGTCCAAAGGGCAAGGAAAGTCCACAGGGTAAAGCAAGTCCATAAGGCAAAAGGCAAATTCATGAAGCAAAAGGCAGGTTTACAAGGCAAAAGGCAGTCCACAAGACAAAGGCAAAGCACAGGCAGAAACATAAATCAAGACTAAGTTTTTCCAAACCCAGGAGAGCATAAATCAAAGCAAACAATTGTTCCTGACAAAGACAAATTCCCCCCAACTTCTCCTTAAATCAACCCATGCCAGGTGTTCCTTGGGAAGAGGGGTAGAGCGACCTTCTCCTGAGCAGTCTTGCAGACCTACTTTGAGTTTGCCTCTGTTCCACTCTCAAGTGGTGGAGGCAGCTGTTCTTCATCAGAACAGATTTACTGCCTCTTAGCACCACTGCCTGTGGGCAGCCAATCCTTTCCTGTGTCTGTGAGGGAAGGCAGCTCTCTGTCCAGTCAACCACCTCCCCCAATACCATTGGCCTCAGCCCTGGGACTCTCCAGACATTCCAGGGGAGCCATGCCATTCCCATCGGATGGTCTTGGATCCTCCTCCTCCAAACTGGGATCCAATGGGGCCATGACAGGAGATCAAAAAGATTCCTGATAAACCTAGAAGACAACTTTGTCACCTCAAAGATAGAGAAGGGAACTAGCGGTTCAGTTACACTGGACTTAATTCTCATTAACATAGATGAAATTACACAGGGGGTTGAAGCTCCAGGAACCTTGGGGAAGAGTGGTTATGTCATACTGGAATTCAATATAATGCAGGCATATGCAATAGAGCAGCGATGGCGAACCTTTTTTGGCTCGCATGCCATAATGGGGGGGAGCGCAGATGGGTCGTGCGTGGGTGTGCCACACTCATAATGCAATGTGCGGCATCCCCCCAGTACGCATGCATGCATGAGAGGCACTCTCCCCCATTTTTTGCATGTTTTTTTGCCCTCCCGAGGCTCCAGAGGCTTTATAAGAGCCTGGGGAGGGTGACAACAGCCTGCCCCGCCCCCCGGAGGCCCTCTGGAAGCTTCAGGGACCTCCAGGAGGCTTCCCTGAAGCCTTCAGAGGGCAAAAAAGGACCCTACAAGCAAACCAGATGTCACTTCCGGTTTGCTCATGGGGTCGTTTTTAGTCCTCCAGAGGCTTCAGGAGCCTTCGGAGGGCTTAAACTGACCCTATGAGCAAATCGGAAGTCCATTCCCAAACTTCCGGTTTCCCCATAGGGCCAGTTTTTTGCGCTCTGGAGACTTCAGGGAAGCTCACTGTTAAAGTGAATAAACTGGAAGATGTGAAAATAACAAAAGAAATGGTGCAAAGACAGTCAAGAAAAATGAAGAACTGTAATGTACCTGGACCAGATGAGCTACATGGCTTCTGGTTAAAGGCACAAGTGTGCACAAAAGATTAGCAACCCAAATGAACCAGATATTAAAAACACCTGAAAATGATGAATGGATGACAACTGGAAGGACATTTTTGATCCAAAAAGATAAAGGAAGAGGAAAGGACCCTGGAAACTATCGGCCAATCACCTACTTGCCAACAACATACAAGCTCATTACTGGCATCGTTGCAAATCAAATTTATGGATATTTGAAAAGAAATGACAGAAAGGATGCTGTAAAAATTCAAGAGGAACAAAGGTCCAACTGCTGATTGACAAGCTAATACTAAAGAATCTAAAGAAAAGACGAACCAACCCGTTCATGGCTTGGATTGACTATAAGAAAGTGTTTGATTCAGTTCCCCACAGCTGGATCAAGAAATGCATGAAAATCATTGGCATCAGCAGCAACATACAAAAATTAATGGAAACTTCAATGAACCTCTGGAAAACGAAGCTTATGGCTAATGGAGAAGAACTGGGTGAAGTTGAAATTAAGGTATTTTTCAGGGTGATTCTCTTTCACCCCTACTTTTTATACTGTCAATGCTACCACTGACAACCATTTTGAAGAAGGTGAACTATGGATATGAACTTGCAAAAAAAGGACTGAAAATTTCGCACTTGGTGTACATGGATGATTTGAAGCTGTTTGGTAAAACAAAAGCTGAATTGAATTTATTAATTGAAAGCACAAAAGAATTTAGCCAATGGAATGCAGTTTGGAATTGACAAATATGCAACAATGGCAACCAAAGCAGACAAGATCATAGAAGATGATGGAATAGAACTTGAGAATGAAGAAATGATAAAGTAAAACCAGAAGAAGGTTACAAGTACTTGGGGATTTTAGAGGCCTCTGACACAATAAAGTCAAGGAATTAACTTCAGCCAAGTACATTAGATAAATTCGCAAGATATTAAAGTCCAAATTGAATGGAGGAAACATCACAAAAGCCATAAATACCTGGGCTATATCTGTGATTCGATACTCTG